CTATTGTCACCCGTTGATGAATGTTCACCGATCGCGAAGGGAACTCACTTGTCCCGCTCTACGTTGGGGCTCATTCTGCTACGTAAACTACGGCCTAACCTACTAGCCGCTTTGCGGATGCTGCAGGGGCTCGAGCATAAACTCCAAGACAGAACAAGACGAGTGAGTCCCGTTAACGGTTGATGAAAGTTCATCTACGAGTGCCAACGTATATTTATTCTCAAAAATGTGACACTTAAAAACGGGATTCAGTAAAATAAGTTGGCTTAAATGAATTTGAGTTGTACTGCGGAGTATTGCCCAGTACCTGTCAAAATGCCAATCAATCTCAAACGACCCAAATATCAGATTAATACATGAACTGATTCTGCAAAAACATTTTTTTCTCATATGAATATAAAACAGCGCATTAGGCCCGACCGCACCAATGAGTTGATGTAAACATTGGGTACTCCAACGAGGTGAGTGAACTCACTAGAAAAATGTATAAACATACACTCGAATACGCGCCCATTAATCTGCTTGGCTTTCCAGAGCAAACACGTCCTGAATAGGACAGTAGCTGTGACTACTAGGGCAATATCTGCAATACGGAAATTGTGCTCAGTCTCAGTATCAGTTTATTGAAGAAAAGATAGGCAAACGCCTTTTAGCTTCCTTTCAGTAACAAGTTGCTAAGAAATATATGAACTTAAAGGAAAAATTGAAAGAAAAATACCTCAATTACATGTTTGCAGACCTAGAGGACTATATACTAGGGCACAAAGAGACCAAAATAATAGTTGCAGCAATAAGCAGACAAAAACCAGAAATTAGATATGGACTGATGAAACTGGGTCTACCGGTGCTGATGATCCGCCGTTTGAGTCTAATCTATACGCCACCTGCAGGCGTGAGCACACGGCTCTTGTTCTATAATGCAGGTGTGGACAACGCTGTCTTATTTAGCCCCCAGTCATAAAACGAAAACCAAGGACGCCTGCAATACTGCAATTGTGTTAATAGGGGTTTTATGGACGGAGCTTCGGGAAGCGGTGGAGAGCAAATTCCGTGAAGAAGAAGAAGAAGAAAAAAAAATGCCGGTAATTGCATTTTTGCCATTAAAGTACACCGGCGACCCATAAAACCTCGAGCGTGTAATTGAAAAGAAGATTAAAAACTGAAATTGACTGATTAGCCTAATCACAAACAACCGACGGATCGAAGTCAAATGCCAAAGGATCAAGGGCTAAAATAATACACCTATTAATAACACGAATCTAATGGAAAATAAAGGAAGATACCAAGCAAATCGTCCACAAACATAATAAATTCTACTTAGTAAGCGAAAAAAACCTTATATGTGTCTTTGTGAGACACTACCAACCCATAAAGCCAATGTTTCAACTCTCGTCTTAACTTTAACCCTTAAACTTAGCCTTTAAACTCTCCCCTAACGTTAGCTCAAAGCCTTAACTTAACATTCAAACATTAATCCTGAATTTAACCCCTCAACCCGAACCCTAGAATTTAAAGTCTAACGCCAGCGTAAATATTCAAACCCTAACGCCTTATCCTATAAATAACATTAAGAAATGCTCGTCCTAACGGTTACTATCCCAATACAAGCGAACATGTGTGTCCCAGGAAGCAATTGAGAAGAAGACTCGATCGCGAGTTTTACGCGATAAAACTTCCTTTTGCCGAAACGTTTACGGTCGGTGTGAGAACTTGCATCAGATAACCAAAAGACATCTGTCATTTGCATTCTCTTTAGTATATTCGTTTCTCCCTATTTATTTTTGTGCAGTCTGCTAAACGTTGACAGCGCTTAGCCTGCTCCATATCTGCTAGTTCCATCATCATGAGAGATAGTAACCATCACTGCCACTGGGTTTCACTAGTGACTTACGTGTTAACTGTTGTATAGGTAGGAAGACTTATCTCGAGTTGCTACTCACGCCTACGAAGCGGCCGATATGTACAACGATAAGTGCTTGAAGCCTGCTCAATGGATGGGAAATCAACTGTTCGATGTATCGATTCGGCGCTGACGCACAAAGCCCAACCCAATCGTCTCAAGATTTGCGTTACTGAAAATTGATTGGCTCGCATCCCCTAAAATTATCGCCTTTTTGCTGCTGCTGCTGCTGCTGCTGCTGCTGCTGCTGCTGCTGCT